TGACGCTGGGAGAGAATGGCCCCTACTCCGGTGTTGGAGGCGTCGACCTCCACTATGAATTGGAGCTCGGGGTTGGGGTGTCGCAGGAGGGGTGCTGAGGTGAACCGTGACCGCAGCTCGTCGAAGGCGTGTTGTGCCTCCTGGGACCAGTTGATGCGGTGCGTGTGGCGCTTGGTCAGGGTGGTTAGGGGAGCAGCCACTGTGCTGAAGTTTCGGATGAATCTTCGGTAGAAATTCGCGAACCCCAGGAATCGTTGCAGTTCCTTCACCGTGTGGGGCACTGGCCAGTTCGACACTGCCGTAACCTTCCTCTCGTCCATGGCCACCCCCTCCTGACTGATTATATACCCCAAGAATGCAGTTCTGGTCTGGTGAAACTCGCATTTCTCTGCTTTGGCATAGAGCTGGTGTTGAATGAGTCTTTCCAGGACAAGTCGGACATGTTGGATGTGTTCCTCCATGGGAGGTGGAGTAGACCAGTATGTCGTCGATGTAGACGATGACCCATTTCTCCAGCATGTCACGGAAGATGTCATTCATGAAGGACTGGAACACGGATGGGCTGTTCGCTAGGCCGAACGGCATGACCAGGTATTCGTAGTGCCCGCTAGTGGTGGAGAATGCCGTCTTCCACTCGTCACCCTCACGGATGCGAATCAGGTTGTATGCGTTGCGTAGGTCTAGTTTGGTGTAGTATCGGGCTTGACGGAGTTGTTCTAGGGCGGCTGGGACGAGAGGCAGAGGGTATCGATACTTGACAGTGATGTCATTAAGTCCACGATAATCGATGCAGGGACGAAGGGATCCATCCTTTTTCTTAACGAAGAAAAACCCGGCCGCTGCCGGTGACGTTGATGGTCGAAGAAACCCCTTCGCTAATTCCTCCTCGATGTAGTTCCTCATCGCTTGTGACTCGGGTCGTGACAGAGGGAATATTCTCCCCTTGGGGGGAGAGGTGCCTGGCAGTAGGTCTATGGCACAGTCGATTGGACGATGTTCGGGGAGTTGAGCAGCCCTCCTCTTGCAGAAGGCCTCAGCGAGGTCGGCGTATTCGGGTGGCAGATTCTGTTCTGTTGACCCGGGGTTGACGGGTTCTGGAGGGTGATGGGGTGCACGGGGTACCCTGGTCAGGCAGTGGTTGTGACATGAAGTGTCCCATTGTGTGATCTGATTCTCTCTCCAGGAGATGTGGGGGTTATGGGTGCGTAGCCAGGGCAGGCCCAAAATCACAGAGTGGTTGCGAGCCTGGATAACGTAGAACTTGATCCTCTCCGAATGTAGTGCACCGACGTGCATGTTGATCTCTTCGGTGAGGTGTTGTACTCTCCCCTCCCCCAGCGGTCAGCCGTCTAGCGCCTCCACTGTGAGGGAGGAACCACAAGAATTAAACCTCAACTGGTGGTTAGTGGCAAACTCACGTGACATGAAATTCCCCGCGGCCCCAGAGTCCAGTAGCGCTGTGGTTGGGATAACCTTGCCCCGAACCAGCAAACGAATGGGTAGAACGAAGCAGGAATTTAGTGTGCTAGATTTGGGGATCGCACTCACCGATTGGGGATCGTTAGGAGGACGTACTGGGCAGGCGGCCCGCAGGTGTCCGGTCTGTCCGCAGTAGAGACACAGATGTTTCTGCAAGCGGCGTTCACGTTCCTCCTGAGTGAGGCGAGTGACGCCTAGTTGCATGGGTTCAGGTGTGGCGGAGGTCTCCCGTGTGAGCCGGGGTGGATACCGGTTAGGACGCCGTGAACGAATCAAGTTGTCGATTTGAATGGCCAGGTTAATGTATTCGTCCAACCCTCTTCCCTCGTCCCGACAGGCCAGCTCCGATTGTAGTTCGGCAGACAAACCCTTGCGAAACAGGGTCTTCAGTGTGTCCTCGACCCAGTTGGTTTGCGCAGCGAGTGTGCGGAAAGATAAAGAATACTCAGCTGCGGTTCTCCTCCCCTGGGTCAGTTCGAGCAGCTGCTCCCCGGCACCCCCGCATTCAGTGGGGTGTTCGAACACGTTGCGGAACTGTAGCAGGAAGTTGGTGAACGTGGGGAACGCGGATCCGTCGGGTCTCCAGACGGCGGTCGCCCACTCCAACGCCCTCCCGGTGAGTAGCGAGCTGATGAAAGCTATCCGACTCGAATCCGTTGGATACATCGAGGGTTGTTGGTCGACGAAGAGTGTGCATTGGTGAAGAAAGCCTCTACATTTTACAGCAGTGCCATCAAACTTTTCCGGAAGAGCCAGACGAGGATTAATAGAATGGTTTACGGTCGCTGGGGAGGCATTGGGAGGAGGATTCGGTGGCGTGGCGTCTGCTGATACCCGTAGCCCGTGTAGTGCGTGCACTAGTTCCTCGGTGAGGGTGGTCAGACGCTGTAGCTGATGGTGGTGCTGGGCCAGCTGGGTGGCTTGAGCGGAGAGCTCCGAAGACAGGTGTACGAGGCCTGCTGGATCTGTGAGTGGCGAAGTCTTCTGTAAGGAGACGCCGGATTCGGAGGGATCCATTCGCAGGTTTTTATTAGAGCATCAGACAGGCAGAGTCAATGACAGCAGACAGGGCAACGTAGAGCAGACAGGATCGTAGTCAGCGGGCAGGCAGGGGTCGGGGCAGGCAGAGAGCAATCAGCAGTACGGTCCGGGGTCACTAAACAGGGATCAAGACTAGGAGAAAACGCTCAGAAATGACAGCCGGGGCAGAATCAAGACTTCGCAGTGAGTGTGTGGGTGTCAGTGGCTTTTGTGTGTGTGTCAATGAGGTGCAGGTGTGTGTGTCAATGAGGTGCAGGTGTGTGTGTCATCAGTGGTGTTGTGGAATCAGTCCCAGGTGTGAAGCATGATGGGAGATGGAGTTCGAAACCAGTTAGTACTCGGGAGAGGGGTCCCTCCGATGGCGAGAGGGAGGCGGTGCGGGAGCGTCCTTCGTAACAACATCTCTGCTCGCCGAGCAGCCATTGTCCCTCCACCTGCTGAGCGTGCACGCTCCTACAACCTAGCACCTGGTATCTTGCTCACTGTTCATTTAACTTGGAGACAACAACATTGTTGTAACACTTACAAAAAATGGACAGCTAATTTATACTCCAACGTCCTACTTGAATATTCGTTGAATGTTGAAGAGAGAAAACAAGTGAAAGCATATCTTTATTTTCTTCATAAATACTGTCACAAAGTTTATTTAAAGATTGGTATGGTTTAAATATTTAGCAGTGTAATATTGGTCTGAGAATATTTTTCGGAAACAAAAGTCATTAGGCCTGAGTGTTAAATGGCATCAACGGTAAATTGAGTCACGTGTTGTCATCAAACGCTTGTCTATCACAGCGTGTTCAGAGAAAACGATTAATAGTAAGTAACAAAATTAATAGTAGTTTCATTGGGTAAAATTGTATATGAAAAAATAAATGCCCAAAGCTTCCTGCTGTCAAGGATGCGCGGAGGAGGCAGGACTCAAATGCAGACTTCACGGAAAACAAAAGACTTTAGTAGTCAAAAACACACAGGAACTTGGGGGAAAACCAGCAATAAGGAAACTACAGACATCCACGACGATAGACAATGACGCCACAAGTGACACAAGAGACACACGGCTTGAATACACAAGGGAGGTGCAGGTGATTGGACACAGGTGGAAACTATTAGATGATCACAGGGGATGACGGGACAAGGCAGGAAGTGAAGTTACCCGGGGACACGAGTGGCAGAAAACTACAAAATACAACAGGAAGTGAACCACACCGTGACACCTGCAGATTATCTTGCGTAGGTGGTGTTGAAGGACAATGTTGTGTTAGTCCTCCTCTGCTGGAAGAGTTCCCTAACTTTTTTGCGGAAATTCTTTCCTACCATAACGTAGAGGACGGGGTTGAGAACGCTGTTGAAGAAAGCCAAATTCATGAAGATATGCAAGCAGATGTTGTAGATGGTGAGTAGGGTGCAGTCTGTAATGACTCCTGCATACACAAGCATTTGGACTATCTTATGCAGGTGGAACGGTACCCAGCAAATCATAAACGCCAGAAGGACTGTCAGCATCAGAGTGGTGGCCTTCTGCTCCTTTTTCTTTGTGTTCGACCCAACACTTAATCTGCTGTTCAGTGCTTGAATAATCCTAAAAGTGCAGAAGGAAATAATGGAGATTGGTATGACGAAGCTGAAGATGATCAGCATCACGCTGAACAGATTCCGCACGGTGCCATTTGGGTAATCAAGATGGCATACATAAGAGTTTGAGTATAATTTCACTTTCCTGTAGACGAGTGTGGGGACACTCAGCAGTAAGCCGAAACACCACACCAGCACACAGCACAGTTTGGCATATTTTGGCCGACGTATTCCGTCATGGGACAGCGGGTGCACCAGGGCCACGTAGCGATCAATGCTTATCAGCACGAGGAAGTAGATGCTGCAGTAGGCGTTCATGTTGATGGAGAGGGTGACCACTGTGCATAGGGGATTGGGAAAGGGCCAGTTGAATCCTTTGGCCGTGTACACAGCCCAGAAGGGCATGAAAGCCATGAGGATGAGGTCAGCGGCAGCCATGTTGCTCAGGAAGATCTCAGCCACGGAGCAGGGCTTCTTATGAAAGCAGAAAACCCCCAGTACAAACACATTGAGGAGGATTCCCAGCACAGAGATGACCAGGATGTAATGTGGCAGCACAGTAGAGTGCCATTCGTTTTTTTCTGCATGAGGGCAATGAGTTGTATTTGTTTGGTTTTGGGCTCCATACATAACCGTAGTGCTGAAGTTAGCAGGGGAGCTGTGAAAAATAAGAGAACAAGACTAAAGATCAGAACAAACAGTTTGGAGGTAATTCTCAATTGGGTCAGGGTCATTAAGTGGAATACTGGGAAACACTGACCACAGTGAGCGCAGAGAAGTGTTAAATTAACACTGCTAAATATTTAATACTGAGTGACAGGGAATACTGGGAAATAGTTCTTTGAAGTATATTTTGCAGATATCGTGGATCAGGAAGGGATAAGTCTTCACAGCTGAGAATGATTCCTTGTAAAATTGACATTGACATGTGTTTGCAATCTGGCATGGGACTATAGGATAGAATTTGACCATAGAAATGTGTGTGTGTGTGTGTGTGTGTGTGTGTGTATTATTGTATTTGTTAGTGTTAGTTATGTTAGTGTTTATCGGTAAGTCCCCATAATTAACTCGTCCCATTTACAATTTCTACAATATATCTATCAGCCAATATGCAAGTAAATCAAAACAAGCAATAGCACTGTGAAAAACTCTAACACAAGTCATGCATTCCAATCAATTCTTCATTATTGCTGCTTTTGAGGTAACATTACAGGTCATTTAGCAGACGCTTTTATCCAAAGCAATTAGAGGTTAGGTGTCTTGCTCAGGGACACTTCAACATGGGGCAGCCTGGAATCAAACCAACAACCTTGTGCTTCCCAGCACACCTTCTCTAACCCCTGCGCCACGACAACCCAAACATAGTTTGTGACTTTCCACAACTGCACTATATTTCGGAAAACCTAATGCTTTAAATTATATTAAATCTATATTCCTGTATCAGAAACAAACAACAAAAACAGTACAACAGTTATAAAATACTCCTCGTAGTGATTTAATTGACTAACATCTAAACTTTTAGAACTTAATTTAGTCATCCAATACTAAACTTAATCAGGCAATCCAGATGAGAACAAGTTGGATTAAGAAATGAGATATGTATCATTAGAACGGGGTGTGCCGGTCCAGTCTAGATTTAACCATTTTTTTGTTAGACTTTATATCATGAAGTTGAGCGCATGCAAACATTATGTCATGGATGATATCATGAAGCTCACACCGGAGTAACATACAAGCCAAATACATATTATACCTTTTTGGCAGAAGAACCATTGTTCCTGAGAAATCCCAGATGAAAAATATCCAGACACACTGCACTGCTCCCGTAGCTCCTTCTGCCTGCTGCCTCCCTGTCTCTGACTCACACTCAGAAAGGAAGCAGATATAAACGGACGTCCCCTCCTCCCGTCATTCACTCCCTTTCACTCATTCTCTTTTCTTTTTTTACACTCTTTAAGTACGCTTTGACTCTTCCATTACCATTGTATAAACAGCCTGTCTGTCTTTTTGCAGGTTTATGTCTATATAAGTCACATTGCATAATGTGCATAATGTATCAGTCATAAGGCGCTTTTATCTGCTCACTGACATTCATTTTGTGTTCATTTCCTGCTATTACGCAGTATAGAGGATTCCAAGTTGTTTTTCATTTAGTTGAGACTTGTCGAAGCATTCTTCCACTGAGGCAGGCACAGTAGTAGCCGTCTAGTTGTATTTCATATTAAATCAGGAATGTGTTCACTCTAAAGAGCCTTTCAGCTGAGAGGTTACTGAAGCACACCATTTCTTAAAAGTACATTTTTTATCTAATGCTGTGGGAGTTGAGATCTAGTATAAAAACAGGAGAGAGAATTGTCCCACTTCCGCCTGTGAAACACACCCAGTCTTTCCTGTAAAAGCATTTTTTCATTACATTATTTTAAAACTTTTATTTTATTACAAAAACACGTTATAAAAAAAACGGCAAGACATCTGGAAAGTTTCCAAGAAAGTCTGACTCGACCAACTGCTTTCCCAGGTTTCTGCAACCACAGGGATTCATTTAATGATTCCAAGTACCTCCCTGAAAGAGGAACCAGTTTGCAGCACATGTGACATCCATTCGTTCAACCATGGTCTACTGCATCCCTCTTGTTATGTGTGAAAACAGGTTTTTAGAACAATACGGGATTCTTGGCACTTTTGGTTTAACTGTCAAATATTATCACACACCGGTTGAACGCAGTCTTCCATCCACTGTTTAAACAACCTCCGAGCACAAGCTCTGCCAAAATCTTTCTTCTTTTTTTCCCCCAAACAGGCTAAAACAAAAGATGTCTTTATGTAGAGCTTACGTTGTTCTTGAAGACATCTCTGCTCGCCGAGCAGCCATTGTCCCTCCACCTGCTGAGCGTGCACGCTCCTACAACCTAGCACCTGGTATCTTGCTCACTGTTCATTTAACTTGGAGACAACAACATTGTTATAACACTTACAAAAAATGGACAGCTAATTTATACTCCAACGTCCTACTTGAATATTCGTTTCATATTGAAGAGAGAAAACAAGTGAAAGCATGTCTTTATTTTCTTCATAAATACTGTCACAAAGTTTATTTAAAGATTGGTATGAGATTAAGACTTTGCATGCATATATGCATCTGCAGATACAACTACATTGATGATGCAAATTGTTTCACAATTGTAGAACAGAGGTTGTTCCATCACAAACACCAAAATGACTGAAATGCAGTTCTTTCTTTTTCTACCGTGGAGAATTTGAATTAAACTGTACAAAGCAACAAACTTTACACTCATGCAAATGTGAGCACATTGCGTAGGTGGCCAGCGGCAGTATCAGACAGAGAAATACTCGGTTATAATTTCTGGCAGAGTTTGTTCAACATAAAGATTTTACAAAACAGTTAGAGCGACACCGTAGGCTACAGCACAGAGAAATAGATTTACAAACATACCCTGATATAATCACACGGAGGAGAGAGGAAACAAACGCAACCTTAATATTAACACTTTAAACCGTTGCTGGTACACAGACAACGTCTGGTTTAAATACTTAGCAGTGTAATATTGGTCTGAGAATATTTTTTTCGGAAACAAAAGTCATTAGGCCTGAGTGTTAAATGGCATAAACGGTAAATTGAGTCACGTGTTGTCATCAAGCGCTTGTCTATCACAGCGTGTTCAGAGAAAACAATCAAAATTAATAGTAGTTTCATTGGGTAAAATTGTATATGAAAAAATAAATGCCCAAAGCTTCCTGCTGTCAAGGATGTGCAGAGGAGGCAGGACTCAAATGCAGACTTCACGGAAAACAAAAGACTTTAATAGTCAAAAGGCCAAAAACACACAGGAACTAGGGGGAAAAACAGCAATCAGGAAACTACAGACATCCACGACGATAGACAATGACGCCACAAGTGACACAAGAGACACACGGCTTGAATACACAAGGGAGGTGCAGGTGATTGGACACAGGTGGAAACTATTAGATGATCACAGGGGATGACGGGACAAGGCAGGAAGTGAAGTTACCCGGGGACACGAGTGGCAGAAAACTACAAAATACAACAGGAAGTGAACCACACCGTGACACCTGCAGATTATCTTGCGTAGGTGGTGTTGAAGGACAATGTTGTGTTAGTGCTCCTCTGCTGGAAGAGTTCCCTAACTTTTTTGCGGAAATTCTTTCCTACCATAACGTAGAGGACGGGGTTGAGAACGCTGTTGAAGAAAGCCAAATTCATGAAGATATGCAAGCAGATGTTGTAGATGGTGAGTAGGGTGCAGTCTGTAATGACTCCTGCATACACAAGCATTTGGACTATCTTATGCAGGTGGAACGGTACCCAGCAAATCATAAACGCCAGAAGGACTGTCAGCATCAGAGTGGTGGCCTTCTGCTCCTTTTTCTTTGTGTTCGAAGCAACACTTAACCTGCTGTTCAGCGCTTGAATAATCCTAAAAGTGCAGAAGGAAATAATGGAGATTGGGATGACGAAGCTGAAGATGATCAGCATCACGCTGAACAGATCCCGCACGGTGCCATTTGGGTATTTAAGCTGGCATACATAAGAGTTTGAGTATAATTTAACTTTCCTGTAGACGAGTGTGGGGACACTCAGCAGTAAGCCGAAACACCACACCAGCACACAGCACAGTTTGGCATATTTTGGCCGACGTATTCCGTCATGGGACAGCGGGTGCACCAGGGCCACGTAGCGATCAATGCTTATCAGCACGAGGAAGTAGATGCTGCAGTAGGCGTTCATGTTGATGGAGAGGGTGACCACTGTGCATAGGGGATTGGGAAAGGGCCAGTTGAATCCTTTGGCCGTGTACACAGCCCAGAAGGGCATGAAAGCCATGAGGATGAGGTCAGCGGCGGCCATGTTGCTCAGGAAGATCTCAGCCACGGAGCAGGGCTTCTTATGAAAGCAGAAAACCCCCAGTACAAACACATTGAGGAGGATTCCCAGCACAGAGATGACCAGGATGTAATGTGGCAGCACAGTAGAGTGCCATTCGTTTTTTTCTGCATGAGGGCAATGAGTTGTATTTGTTTGGTTTTGGGCTCCATACATAACCGTAGTGCTGAAGTTAGCAGGGGAGCTGTGAAAAATAAGAGAACAAGACTAAAGATCAGAACAAACAGTTTGGAGGTAATTCTCAATTGGGTCAGTGTCATTAAGTGGAATACTGGGAAACACTGACCACAGTGAGCGCAGAGAAGTGTTAAATTAACACTGTTAAATATTTAATACTGAGTGACAGGGAATACTGGGAAATAGTTCTTTGAAGTATATTTTGCAGATATCGTGGATCAGGGAGGGATAAGTCTTCACAGCTGAGAATGATTCCTTGTAAAATTGACATTGACATGTGTTTGCAATCTGGCATGGGACTATAGGATAGAATTTGACCATAGAAATGTGTGTGTGTGTGTGTGTGTGTGTATTATTGTATTTATGTATGTATGTTAGTGTTTATCGGTAAATCCCCATAATTAACTCGTCCCATTTACAATTTCTGCAATATATCTATCAGCCAATATGCAAGTAAATCAAAACAAGCAATAGCACTGTGAAAAACTCTAACACAAGTCATGCATTCCAATCGTTTCTTCATTACTGCTGTTAGTGAGGTAACATTACAGGTCATTTAGCAGACGCTTTTATCCAAAGCAATTAGGGGTTAGGTGTCTTGCTCAGGGACACTTCGACATGGAACATGGGGCAGCCTGGAATCGAACCAACAACCCAGCTCACCTTCTCTAACCCCTGCGACACGACAACCCAAACATACTTTGTGACTTTCCACCACTGCACTATATTTCGGAAAACCTAATGCTTTAAATTTCTTAAACTCTTCTCTCTATATTCCTGTATCAGAAACAAACAACAAAAACAGTACAACAGTTATAAAATATTCCTCGTAGTGATTTAACTGACTAACATCTAAACTTTTAGAACTTAATTTAGTCATCCAATACTAAACTTAATCAGGCAATCCAGATGAGAACCAGTTGGATCAAGAAATGAGATATGTATCATTAGAACGGGGTGTGCCGGTCCAGTCTAGATTTAACCATTTTTTTGTTAGACTTTATATCATGAAGTTGAGCGCATGCAAATATTATGTCATGGATGATATCATGAAGCTCACACCGGAGTAACATACAAGCCAAATACATATTATACCTTGTTGGCAGAAGAACCATTGTTCCTGAGAAATCCCAGATGAAAAATATCCAGACACACTGCACTGCTCCCGTAGCTCCTTCTGCCTGCTGCCTCCCTGTCTCTGACTCACACTCAGAAAGGAAGCAGATATAAACGGACGTCCCCTCCTCCCGTCATTCACTCCCTTTCACTCATTCTCTTTTCTTTTTTTACACTCTTTGAGTACGCTTTGACTCTTCCATTACCATTGTATAAACAGCCTGTCTGTCTTTTTGCAGGTTTATGTCTATATAAGTCACATTGTCATATTATGTTCATTTTAGCATTATATTGTAAGGTAACTCTCAATGTTGAGACAACTTATGTGTTGTCTCACAGCTAACATTGCTGACAGTGGAAACAATGTTTAAAGGGCTCAAGAAGCTTATAGTGGCGAATTGGGTGTTGCTACACTTATGTGTGGCCACGGCGTTGCTGGGGCATCGTTACCAACTATTTGGATGCAGTGCAGAGCAGCTACTGACAGCCGTTGTTTGGGCGATGTTATGCCCTTATTGGATGGCGACGTTAGAGTCTATGACATGTTTTACACCCAGCAACTCTATTTACTAATCTATTATATGCAAGACATTTGTAGATTATATTAAACACTCTTTTCTTACCTCGTAAGTGTAGCCAGTGAGGAAATGTCCCTCACGTGATACCATAGGTTTAAGCCCCTCCCACTTCCTGATTCTGATGACTTCGCCAATTAGTCTGCGTATAAAGGCTCCATTTTACGACACTACAGGAGCATGCTGTCTTCCAGTGTCGGACTCTGGTTTTGACAACCCGTTTGGAGCTGGTACATAGTTTTTACCCGTGTTTTAGAAAGAATACATTTTCCCTTAGTGACGCTCTGGTTTTTGCCCCAGGCCCAGGGCCTCATGGAGGCCCAAACCAGGTGGGAGCCGGCCCAGGTGGAGCGAATGTAGCCCAGGCCGTGATTAGAAGCACTGCTGTTTTGCTTGGTTTTGTTTTGTTCCTATTTTGTGTCTCATTTTTTTCATTTTGTTCAGCTAGATTACGTTGGGGTAGATTTTCTGTGACTTGAACAAATTGTGTTTTGTCCCCCAGAAAGTTAATTTATACACTTTATTTGTTTCTGTTTAGGAGTACGTGGGGCTGGTGGCAGCGTGGCTACCCGGATGGTGGTGGGGCTGGTTGGACTGGGCCTCTCACTTTCTTCTCCTCTTCTTCTTAGTTGCATGTCTTTGGTTTTTGATTTTATATTGTTTGGCGTGAGTGTGGATGCGGCACTGGAGGGAGTGAGGACCTTGTCCTAGAGTTTTCCCCCCCCTCCCCCTTTTCCCTTCTTAGCCCGCTGCAGCCTACGGCCCCAATAGAATCAAAGTTGTTTATTAAAACCTTTCCTTTTTATTCTTTGACGACATTCCCAGAGCTGACGGAAATTATTAAAATGAATTGTTTCGTACCTTTTTGATGATATTTTAAGAAACTCAAATAAATATTGTACTGTGGGGGAATATTGTTGCTTTGGTCTGTTTACACTGGTCATCTGTAGGTCGTGGTGGATTAATTAATATCCCTGCGGGACGATAACCGCTCCTCTGTACCTACCGGTGGTTACATAAGGCCTCTTATTTGGAGGAATGAGGGGGTAAGATAACAAACCGGGGGAAATGGGACCAATAAACAAATGCATGAATTAAATCAAGGCCTCATGGTAATTAACTGTAAATATTGATGGTATTATATTTCAACAAGCGATGTAGGCAAGTTTTTGATATGGTGGTGGCATGTAGTTAATGTTGTGTTGGACCTCTAAGTGCATCTAACAGTACTGTTATTTATATTTACACACACTGGAGTACATCTGAAATGAAAACAACTTATCCATTGCATCATGTCTTTGCATTCAATATTTAGTTGTTTATTAGTGTTGAAGGTTTCAAAATTGTGTTCATGAATACACAACATTTCTAATTATGTAAGTAACAAGCATTTATATCAGAGTAGAACTGTCTGTGTCCGTCACGACCAAACGAATGTTTAGTTTACGTGTCAAGACATATCTTAAGAGGGGGATTATGAATGTAATTCTACAACGTACAATGGAAGACATTCTCCCATCTTAGTTTTCTATGGGACAAGCTGATTTATGGAGTCACTCCAATTAAACAGATTCAGATGTCCATTATCTCTGTTTGCGTCAATTATTTAACGAAGAACAGCATTACACATCCTATGATGCTATTAACCATAAAACTGCATTATTATTGCATTAAGTCTAATGGAATAACAACGTTGAACCCATTTCCTGTATATTACATTATTTTCTTCCATAAGCAGCAATTGAAGTGGTGGATGTCACTAAGAGTCACGTGCTATCTTTTGCATTAAAAATGACCACAGCCTTAATTTGCTCTGTTCTGTTAACGTAAGTGGACACAACAGATCGTTGAAATGTGTTCATATCTGATCCTCTGCGATGATGTCTAGTTCTCATGTAGATGGCACTGACTTTCCTCCTAAAGTACTGCCCTGACAAGACGTACAGCAGAGGGTTCAGGGCACTGTTGAGGAAGGCCAGGTACGCTGACACCTGGCCTCCTATGTCGAGAGTGTGGAACCAAAGCTTCTCGTCCAGCACTTGGACGTCACAGAGTGTGTCGAGGAAAGTGAAGACCTGGAAGGGACCCCAACACAGTAAGAACAATATGGTGACAGCGTACACCAGCGCTGTGGCCTTTGTGTCATCAGTGCCACGTAAAGCAACGCTCTCCCTTCTCCGAGCCAAAACCTTAATTATGTTTCCGCTGCTGAAGACTATCACCAGCACAGGGAGTAGAAAGCCCACCACATTCACCAGGATGTGATGGGCCAACTTCCAAGAGATGTCATGACCATAATCCAGCACACAGGACATTGTCTCCAACTCCTCGATGAACTTCACCTCTCTGTGAACCATTGTTGGCAAGCTCAGTACGGCCGCCAATACCCACAGGATGGAGCAGATCACCTTTGCAAAGAGTGTCCGTCTCATCCACCGGGCCTTCATGGTCTTCACAAGCGCCAGGTAGCGGTCAACACTGATCATGACCAGGGTGAAGATGCTGGTGTAGAAATTGATGATGATGATGGAGTTGACCAGTTTGCACAGGGCACCTCCGTACGGCCAGTTAAAGCCATTGAGGATGTTCATCGCCCAGAAGGGGAGGCCGCACAGGAGGATAAAGTCAGCGAGCGCCAGGTTGCTCAAGTAGACTTCCGCCACTGTCAGTCGATCCGCGTGAGCAAAGAACACCGCGAGGACAAAGCTGTTGAGGAGAAGGCCTGAGAGGGATACGGTGAAGATGTACGGGGGAATGACGGAGTAGACGAGTTCCCATTCTGTAGAGTTTGGAGACTCTGATGGGCCGGACGTCACGGACACACTGCTGTTTTCGGACCACAGTGTTGCCACAGATACAAGCGTCGTTGGGTCCATGGTCTAGGGAACACAACACTTCAATAACTCATCAGTAAAACAGTATCAATAATATCTTATTAAAAACACGTGATGCTACGTTACTACCGGATCAGAGATTAATTGGGCGTGTTGAACATTTACTTGACCTAGTCAAACACAAAGTATGATACATTCTTTCTGTGTAGCACCTGTTTCTACTTTAATGCACAAAACTAAAAAATATTCTATAGGAAAGAGAATGTTCTTACCGTTGGTTTCATGAGAATGTTCCTCCTTTGGTCCAAATGATAAGAGACATGTCTGGAACACGGCTGGTGTGCGTTTGCTGAAGTCCTCGTAAAAGCACACAGCGAGTCAGAGGAGAGATCTGCTAGTGGAGGTTTTGTATACAGACGCATTCTTCCACACCCTCCGTAGAGGCGTTCAATATATCAACTTGTTTACGAAAGAGTCAAAAGCTGTGCACATAATGTGAAGCTGAACCTGCATTGCACAAAATGTTTTCAACTTCATCAGCAACACTCTATTAAGAAAAGGATCCAAACGGATAACACTTACCACTGATGTATTTCAAACAAAATCTTATTATTTTCAACTTAAAAAGTAGAATTAGCACTTGATACTGACCCTGGTCTCACGCCACCATTACAACATCCCTTAAGGACAACGGTAAGATGGCAGTGGGTGAGTCCGCAGTGGGAGCTGTTGCAACCCTTTTATGGTCAAGTCAATTTTTGCACTGAATTAGGACTAAGAAATGTGGCTCATGGTCATTAAGGCAAAAATATTTTCGTATCAAATCAAAGACTGCTTCTGGAAGTAATGGATACTGCTTTATCTGGCAAAAAAAACACATTCGTTCTTGAATGATCCTGAAAAAATATGGCAAAATTATCTTCTGTAAAACCGTGGTGGATATTTTTCTTTTCTGGATAAAGAAAAGGCTTCAAGGTTGACTTGATTTTTAAAGATATTATTATTCCATAATCAAAAGTTATATTTCACTCCACATACAGAGGGCAGCATAATACACAAACGGGATGGATTTGTGGTTTTCTTCAGTAGTTAAACACAAACTTCTTAGAAATTAGTACTTTATCAAAACATATAATAGCTTAATTTAGCAGGTAAAAAGTGTAAATGTTCTGGATGGAAGCTACTATCACAATACATTAATTATAATGAATAAAATTCAAGATTAACAGACACGACACTATAATGGTTGACAATGTTAGTTCCAGACGTTGTTTATCAAAAACAGGTTTTGTGAAACTGAAGAAAAATTCAGCAGGTTAATTAGTCAGCTTCAGAAATGCTGGTAGGCAAATCTGAAAGTGGTATCAACTTTCGTATCAAACTCTGAATAGGTGAATGTGACCAGCCACTCCTTTAAGTGGCTGGTCATATTCAAGTTGACATTCTTCTTCAAAAACATGTTTGCTATATTGAGATCTCAAAAGCAAGTAATAGAGTAAAATAATCTGCCATATGTGGCTTTTGCAATACTTCAACAAACCTTACAAATTGCTCGTAACAAAAGTCTTACACAAGCTCTCGTTTGTGCTAAAGGCCGCCGTGTTTGTTGATGACATTCATCAACACATATACACCTTCATATTTGTAACTGGGAGAGCGGCTGCGCTGTGTGTTACAACTTGGCAACTTTCTTTCTTTTTGAACCTTGGACTAATAGCTTATTTTCATTAAAAAAGAGTTGGCAACAGGGGGCTGTTTTTTGGTTGAAGAATTAAAAGAAATATATTGTACTCTTGCTGTTTTCTTAAGATGACCAACTCTAGCCTTAATAAGTATGATGGAACCTTTTATCTGTTATATAAACTGATCTTTTCACCAGCTGTCTTTCTCTGCGTGTTGTTGTTTTAGATTTTTGTGCTATCAGTTAGTTTGGTTGCGTTGAGATTAGCAGTTAAATGACCGGACTTCCTCCGCTGCCTTTTTCCCCGGCGGAGCACCAGTGCCAACACTTCCCTTGCCTGTTGCTTAAAGTGCTTCCCCACAATCACATACAGGAAGGGATTCAATGAGCTGTTGCTGTAGCCAAGGTAAGTAGCCAACTGGTCTCCAATGTCCAAGACGTAAGCCCACGTACATCCAGGAAACACTTCAAAGTGATCCAAAGTGTCCAAGAAGATGAGAACCTGGTACGGCAGCCAGCAGAGGATGAACGCCGCCAGAACAACAAGAACGAGGAATGCCGCCTTTCTTTCCGCACTTCCTCTGTTGCCTTTTCTCAACTTCCGGCTGCTCTGAAGAACTCTAGTGATGTGGTAACTGCAGAAGGACATAATGGGAACTGGAATAAGGAAGCCCACCGTGCTGACGGTCATGTTGTAGCGCAGCCTCCAGCCTTCGTGGGGATACTCGAGGTGGCATGCGTCTACGCCCAGATCGGGCACGAATTGAACAGAGCGGAAGAGGACAGCCGGGAAGCTGAGCAAGACGCCGGCGATCCAGATAACCAAGCAAATGCCGCGCGCCCACCAGGCTCGTCTCTCCCTCCCTTGGGTCAAAGGTCTAGTGAGGGCCAGGTATCTGTCCACGCTCACGAGCGTGAGAAACAACACGCTGCAATAATAGTTCATCCCGATGACGGTGTTGATAAGCTGGCACATGGCCTCCCCAAATCTCCAGTGGAACTTGTTAACAACGGTTTCCACCCAGAAGGGCAGGCAGGAGACCATGAGCAGGTCCGCCGCGGCCAGGTTGCTCAGGTAGATGTCGGCCACGGAGCTGCGCCGCTTCTGGAGACAGAACACGCACAGCACGCAGGAGTTGCCGATCACGCCGAGGAGGCAGATGACGGACATGTAGGCCGGCTGCATGGCGTAAATCCAGTCCCACGCAGCCGTGTGGTTGCAGACCAACTCGGCTCTTGCGGCAGTCTCCATCGGCAATGTGGTTCATCCAGAATGCTGTTGCAGGGCGACGGCGACTTTAAAAGGTAGAAAAATGAGGTTGTGTGCAAAACTGATAAATGTAACAGTGAAACCTTTTAACTGTGTCAACAAAGGTTTGTTGTCTTTGTGCTGTACTGACGCGTCCGGATTTGAGTTCCAAAGTGAGAAGGATAATTGATTTAATGGAGTGTTTCTGACTTAATGGTGGTTTATCGGTCAGCGCACACAGTACACACATGCCGTTGTCAAAGTGGCGAGGCGTAGCAACTGGATGGAGCACGTCTGTGACTGAAAAAGAACCCAGGACACGCATTTCAAGAAAAATCTGAAATACAAACACAAACCGTACTGAAATGTCTCATTTCCTCACGCTTTGTGCTTTAACGGGACACGCGCTCTCACTCCCACGGTCCACCTCTGACCGGAGTACGTTACCGTACTGAATTGCATTCACGTGTCCCCAATCCTTCCACGCACACATATGGTTACATTTTTATTCCTCTAAGTGAGTGGAATTTAGCAAGCTAAGCCAACTACCCAAATCCAGACAGGCAGAGCAAAATACATGGAACAAGGTTTAAAATGTGTATTTCTTTTAGATGTATTTTACCCTTTGAGGTAACATTGTCTGCCTGCTTGCTTTTTTTTTGTTCCACAACAATTTCCAGCTCTGGCAATGGTGGTAAAGTGTTTCTCGTAACAAATGCTTCTTGTTTAGAACAGCATGCTTTCATTTTGGTTACTAATATGGGTGTACCCTCGCCCACAGCCCACAATAAGTCAACATTGGGACATGAAATAGTAGAGTGGGGAGAAATGAAACTGAGACAACTCATGTGCGTACAGCCAACAAAAGGAGCATGTTTTTTGTGTCACCACTGGAAACTCTGAACAGAATTCTGTTTTTAACTCTGCAGACCTTATGAGTCAAACACACCAGACAACTCTTAGCAAACTAGTTGTTGGGCTTCTACATTAACAACATTCATGACATCCATTAAATGCAATATGTTATATTTGACCAGTTTTTGTTGGTATAAAAATACATTTGTTATAGGCAGTCAATATGACAACTGTATTTACATGTCCTTTTCCACTGATTTGTATCACACCACCCGTGTGTTTACAATGCGTATGCAAATATTTGAAACACGAGACCAGCTGCTGTTTATTACGCACGGTGAAACTGTTTAAAAAGCGAGAAAAACAAAACGGCCTTGCACAAACAACCGGATCCCTTACAAATAATGAAATCCTGTCCATCTTTGTGAGAGCAGGTATGAGAAGACATTGTTTGGAGGAAGGGTGATTTCGTCCCATCAGTTATACTAGCAGTGCTTTATACCACAGTCTTCACAGTAGAGGACAGGTGTGATATACGCAAGGACTCAGGCGCGGCTGCTGTCTTAATCTTCCACTCCTTAAAGAGTTCACTAACTTTTTTACGAAAGTTCTTTCCAACAATGACGTATAGGATGGGGTTGAGAACGCTGTTGAAGAAGGCCAAGTAACTGAATATCTGATTGCAGATATCTAGGACAGACTGGAGATGACACCCTCCCAGGATGTCAGCTCGCACCAGTACATCCAGTGTGGTGACCACGTGGAAGGGCACCCAGCAGATAAAGAACGCCAGGAGGACCGCCAGCACCAAATTGGTGGCCTTCTGCTCTGTTTTCTCAGCATTGAACCTCTCCGTCATCTGAACCTTCAAAGCCTGAATAATCTTAATGGTGCAGAATGAAGAAATGGAAATGGGGACGATGAAGCCAAAAACGATCAGCATCCCATCAAAGAACAGCTCTGTGGTTAAGTTTGGGTACTCCAGAAAGCAGGCAGTCACATTATACTCTGGAAAATAATTCACTTTTCTGAAGAAGAGTGTGGGGAAACTCAGGAGCAAGCCGAAACCCCACATCAGCAGACAGCCCAGTTTGGCGTATTTTGGCCTACGCATTCTTCCATGGGACATTGTATGCACCAGTGCCACGTAGCGGTCCATGCTAACCAGAACGAGGAAGTAGACGCTGCTGTTGGCGTTTATCTTAATGCCCAGGTTGACCGCTTTGCACATGAACAGACCAAAAGGCCAATTGAATCCGTTGGATATGTGGACAGCCCAGAAAGGCAAACAGGACACCAGGATGAGGTCTGCAGCGGCCAGGTTGCTCAAGTAGATCTCAGCCACGGTGCAGGCCTTCTTGTGGAAGCAGAAAACCATCAGGATAAACACATTGAACAGAATTCCCAGCACAGTTATGAGCAAAATATATACTGGTTGACTAGTGTAGAGCCAGTCCCAGTCGTAAAGATCAGGACAATCCGTGCCGTTGGTGTTGTTTTGGTCTGGGACGCTGTCGGAAAGATAAAATAAAAACATTTAAACTTTGAGATTTAAACTAGGGATGTTTCATTTGAAGCTTTATTGCCTCTAGTCTTGGTCCAAGTAATTTAATACTGAGGAGTGTCTTCCTCTACAACGTCAATGTAAATATTTTATTACTACATAGTACAGCTGCAGAGTTTCACTTCAACTAGATTAATTGTGCCTAAGTCAAACAAGTCATCTAAGCGTTTTTTGGGGGTGTAACATAGCAATGTATTAAATTAAATTTTAAAAAAACTTCCTAACATAATCTTACCTTGTCGCTGTCAGCTCAATTTATCCATTACCGATGAGTCAAAAATGCCCTGATAGCTGTTCTTCTCTGGTTAAAACAACATTTCTATATTTTCTGAACTTTGAGTGGGGAGATGAACACAGTGCCCGAAACAGAGCGCTCTGTTTAAATGGTCATTTCTAAGTTGCTATTGGTCATCAGTCACTGGATTGCAACTCTGAAATGCTCCACCCGAAGCACTTGCCTCCATCTGTAAAGTGTTTAACTGGTACCTGTGTCTCATATAGTGGTCACCATGTTCCCCTAATGAGCAACAGGCATGGCTCTGTTCTGTCGTAATTTCCAAGAGGGAAACTTTGGTCTCACAATACGAGATATTATCTTCGTCCGATAATCTGTTTCTCGCATTTCTAAAAGATATACATACGAGAATGTTTTTTAACTAATTAATTAGGAAACAAAATCAAATTGTACATTTTGGCATAAGTCTCCATCAAATGTGTCAGGGATTTTGTTAACACTGTAAGTATTAACAGTCGTTCGGCACAGGGACGATTTAATGTAGTAACACCTGTGGTAAATTGAAACATGTACTCATTTTACATATTTACAAAACATGTGTTTAGCTTTCTCATAATTTTGAGCCCAAACTGAACTCAGATATGATTTCTATTGAATCAAACCATGACTTTTGTGTATTAAAATAGTACAAAATAAACATTTAACCAGATGGACTTATATTTAGAACTTAGAGTGAGGGCTTTGGTTCACCACAAAATATGTGTAACATATCTTGAGGTATGATGCATCTGAACACATGTCACTACAGTGTTGATAGGTCTCTGTACATAGTTGCATGATTATGAAGTTAACATTTGTTAACAATGTTAAAGATAATGCATACATGCTAATGTGAATACTTTTGTAATATTCAACAAGCCAAAACATACCTTGTAGGTTGGAGAGCCATACTTCCTGAATAAGTCCAGATGGGAAAAGTCCAGATGTCAGGCTACACTGCTTCAGCAAGTCTCCCTTACTGTCCTCAGTCTGAAACTGACGCCCTCTCTTATGGGAAACTGGAAATAAAAGGTCTGCCAACTTCAAGCTTCCTCCCAAACCACGTTCCTGTAGAAAGAAGCAAACATAGAGTCACCGACTTGACACACTACACACATTCATGCCGAATCTTTATAATGTCTTTTTATTTCTAATCTTCATATTACTACTATTTATCATGTCTATGGAGAGTAAAATTTCTCTTTCACTGAAGCTGTTCTGAATCCTACTGTGTAAAACATATCTCGATACAAGCTTTCAAGTTATTTAGATGATTCAAAGTTTGGTCAGAGGCACTGAAGAAAAAAAAAGCCTTATGTAAACTGAAGCTTGCACATTCTGTGTAACGTTTACTCTATCATCATCGTAGCCATTTTAAGACCCTTTTCAAATTATACTTCAACAAGACATCTGAGAATATTGCCTACCTCCAGCCAAATGGATAACGTTGAAAGCAATTGCTGCTTCTACTTTGCCTGCTCATCTCTTTTTGTAGGAGAGGTTCCATTTTTATGGGCAGAAGTTTTCTGTTGAAGCCGATCAAACAATTCAACAATTCAACCACTTGGCATTGTCTTTATGTGGTCCATCATCCCTCCCTGCTGTAAGGGACTAATGCCATACCCCTCTCTGTAAGGTCCTAACCTCCAATCTCTGTGTTATCTACCTAACTAAGTTATGATAGATAATGAACCTGATTTTCTACGCTGTGTTCGTGTGCATCACTGGAAATGCAGGAAGATGGATTGGAGCCTGAATCATTAAGCCTGCGATTATTAGCTCTTTCCTGAGGACTGATATAGTATCTAATAATCTAATAGACAGCCAAACCATGGTAGTTTGAGTATTCAAGCAAAATAAGTATAAAAAAAATTGAATAGGCAGTATAGACATAATACAAGGGATTAGTAAATGCATGAGCATGACTGTCATATTTCCTTGGAAAAAAGTTAATTTTTGCTACTTCAGTCGAGTCATGAGACTTCCTGGTGTCGCAACTGAGATATCGTTTCCTCCTTTTCCAATCCACCATCACATTTTAGTTTCTCGAACCGTAAAATAAGTGTTTTTACATGTCTTTATTAATGGTTCTTTATTTATACACTTTCAATCCAATTCAATTAATTTTATTTTGTATAGCCCAAAATTGCAAATTACAAATTTGCATCAGAGGGCTTTACAGTCTGTACAGATGTGACATCCTCTGTCCCGAAACCCTCAAATCAGTGGTACATCACTTGTATTTGGATGTACAATGGAGGCCCTCGAATGGTCAGGGTTAAAATGACGAAATTGTTATGTTCAAAAAACCTTTAGGCTGGAACAAAGAACGTCAGGCTTTGTTGAGTTATTTTGCTAAAAAATAAGTTGTGATACAGTCCACTACTGTCTATGCTTCCGCTCAAAAACCCCAAACAAAGGAATCCATCAGGTTATTATCCTTTTCCATCATACAGGCGTAGTCGCTATTGGCAAATTCCTGCGGGCTACTCCTCCAGTGTCGGCCACCGTGCAAGTACCGTCCGGTCCCGGTCGTACCGTCTGCCGGTCGGATCGTCAGCGCTTGGGGTTCGATGGGCCCTCGAGGGAGATCACACTTCTTTGTTCTCTGAATCAAAAGTGTCAACTGGCTCAAATTTAATAACTAAACAAAGTGATAAGGAATACAATTACAGAGTGAAATACAATGCGAATAGTGAAATATTTCGCGAAATAGAGAATTCTCCGACCAAGTCTGATGAGACTTATCAAAGCGGCTCAAGAACAATTCAAACAGTTCTTCTGCATGTTTAGTCCTTCGAAAACTGGAGCGTGTCTTTTGAGTGCATTTGAATGTTATTCAGAAGGCTTCTCCTTCAAACGTGTCTCCTCCTGGTTTGTCCCCTTCACATCCAGGTGTGAATCTGCTGCAACCTGAAACCTCTCTATCTTATCTTTCCCTCACATTCAAAAACATTCAATGTAGATGCATTTGGATTTATGCCTCAATGAGTAAATGTAACATAGCATGCATAGTTTGTCTTCATCTTATAACTAGTACACTTTAATAACAACACAACATAAATGATAACAGTTCATCACACTTCATCACACTTCATTACATTACATTACATGTCATTTAGCTGACACTTTTATCCAACACTTAATTACTGCATTTCAACCATAAGAAGACAGACACAGAAGAAGTGCAATTTCATCAAATAAGCCGATCTACAACTTGCTATAGATGAGAGACATTATAAGTACAATCTAAGTGCTACGATTTGTTAGTCTTTTTAGTCGAGTTTGAGGCTCAAGAGGTGTGTCTTCAGTTTGCGGGGGAAGATGTGAAGGCTCTCTGCGGTCCTGGTGTCATCAGAGAGCTCGTTCCACCATTTAAGCCATGCAAGCGAATGACAGAGCCGAGAGAGTTGGTGTAAAGACAGAAGAGGAGGGGACCCAGGACGGAACCCTGAGGAACTCCAGTAGTAAGAGGACAAGGTTCCGACACAGATCCTCTCCATGTGCGGCCATAAAGGTAGGATGAGAGACGGGAGAGCGCAGAGCCTGAGACACCAAGTTCCTTAAGGGAGGAGATAAGGATCTGGTGGTTTACTCTGTCAAGTGCAGCAGAAAGGTCCAGAAGGATGAGGTTACTATAGCAGAGATTACTACGGTAAGAACTTGGTTAGGAGACAGGGGGGGTGAAAGAGGGAAGCGAGGGTGATAGAGGTGAAGTTGGTGGGACACAAGTAAGAAGACATAGGTTACAGAAAGAAGAGCGTACGTCAGCTACAGTTGACAGAGTCTCCCGGAAGAAGGGGGGAGGGGAAAGGAGGAATCGGGGGTTCGAGGAGGTTGGAGAAGATAGAAAATAGTTTTTTGAATCAAGATCAGGAATCAGGAAACATTTATTGCCAAAATGTCAAACATACAAGGAATTTGTCTTGGCGGTTGGTGCGTGACAGTAGACTGTGTAACAATAGACAACAAGACAGCAGTGCACAAGTAATACAATAAATTAAAATGAAATGCTAATGCAATAGGTTAGTAGAATAAGGCTATGGGTTAGTATAAAATAAGAGAATAAAATTAAAGTTAAAAATTAAAAATATTTAAAGTTAAAAATAAATAAATATAGAAATAAATAAAGTGCACTGTCGAACAAGAGACAAAGTGACAAGTGACGACAAAGTGACAAGTGACGACAAAGTGACAAGTGACGACAAAGTGACGAGTGAGAAATGACAGTTAAAGTGACATGTGCAGTATGAAGGGGAGTGACCGGTGGAATGTTATAGTCAGTCAGTGGGGGACCGGCTCTGTTGATGAGCCCGATTGCCGACGGGAAGAAACTGTTCGTGTGGCGGGAGGTCTTAGTCCTGATGGACCTCAGCCTCCTGCCAGATGGAAGGGGCACAAAAAGATTTTGTCCGGGGTGAGAGGGGTCGGCTAGGATCTTTTTAGCTCGCTTCAGAGACCTGGAAGCGAACAAGTCCTGCAGGGACGGCAGATTGCAGCCGAAGTCTGTGATCCACTTGCAGGTGGAGTCGGGCATGTAGCTGAGAGAGTTTGTCCTGCAGCAGAGACGGGATTGAGGTTAGAAAAAGAGGTTTCATAATGTTTAACACAGTTTATGTGGTGCAATACTCTAAGATATTTGCATCCAGTTGCTCATATATTATCTGACAGGAGAAAAAACTTGGGAAAATTGGGAGAAATCCATAAAGGACAGCAATTTGCATCCGTCCCCAGGTTTACATCCTACGACATTACATCGTGACATAATGTTAATGTGTACACTGTTTATATGATTTATATTATATTGCAATCATTTCATCTCACATGCTACTGTAATAACTGCTCTCTAGCATCCCACAAACTACAATTTTAACACTAAACATTACTACATGTATTATCATTTCTACCACTAGGTGTGCTCTTCTACTTAAATCCCAAACAGATGAATCAACTCCTTGAGAGACTTTCACTTTAAAGTTGATTAGACGGGTGTCTAGGTGAAATATTTGCTATGACTGAAGTATCATTAGTGGAGTGAAAACTACATTGAGCAATATTGAAGGCTGAATAAATATAAACTACATGAGACAAATAAGGAAAGCAAATTAGATTGAAAAATGTGGCAGCTATTCCAAAAAAATATTAAACTAAATCATTATTTTGAAATAATGAACAATTACTGAACTTGTAGCAATTGCCTAAACCACAAAATGATTTGCACAAATGGTCAAGTTACACGTACACAATCACAGCAGCAGCAGGTTTAGTTTAATTTTTACAAAATAATCTGTAATAACTCTTGTCTTTTGGCCCATGCTCTCCATTGTTTTACCAACGATGACACTAAAACACAATAAAAACATTCATGGAGATGTGTGGGAGCTATTATTTAGTTATTTATTCTTAGATGCTTAGTTATTGTTGGTTGGTTTGTTAGGTTGATATACTGTAGTATTAAGATAGCCTTTTCTGTTTTGGTATTCAATTTAGTTTAATCATTTTTTGTCAACAAGAATGCATAGTTTGGTTAATTGGACCACTAATGGTCATTGGTAATGCTGTGGCCACCTGGGGGTTACTTAAGGTCATAGCCAGGTAGGACCAGCATGCACCTGGGTGACTAATAGTTTTTCACCAGCAGAGCAGCACTGCATAGGAAGGCAGCCAAGTGTTATCAGGAAACAGGAAACAGAAAAAGATTGCCTGGACAATACGCTCTCTTGCTGCGTGACAAAAACTATGTGCAGCAGTGGCCCTTTGACATGTAAACATTTGTTGGTCCCAAGGTCAAATGGCCACGTATGGCCAGATGTATTATATGGTTTCCTAAGGTCACCTGTATATTGTGTGCAGTATACTAAAGCCTGTTGGAGGACTAAACTCAAATGTTCTAGTTTCCCTGTATTGTCTTTTAGAAAGTTCTTTTTACATGTGATGTCAATGTCCATCATAACAATAACAATAATGTATCTGCCTATTATAACTGATTCAAACCTACTCCCTGTTAACTTCATAACAAACGGAGAGGAGCTGGAGTAGTCACGACAACAGACCCCACAACTGTCCGTTGCTGTTATTTCTCGGTGGTGCGTAATGAGGCCTATAACAAATGTCTGGGCGAGGGGGCGGCGAGGCTCAGGCTCCACTTCGAAAACACCCGGCTCATTTCCTGTCTCCTTCTGCCTGTCTGCTTCACTATTTTTTTTTGTCTATATATTTTGCTCCATTACGCGGTGCCGAGCTCGCCCCCGTTCCCTGCTTCATGACCCAAGACGGCAGGATCACAGTTCCGCACGCGTGGTTTATATATTCTATTCACAGCTGTCCCGTGCGATCACTGCGCTGTGTGAGGAGAGAGAATGAGAACGCACAAGCGTTGGAATCATACCAGCACCAGGGTCTGGCAGCCCCCTGAACCCCCCTCCCAACCCCCGCCCCCCCCCCCCACACACACACACACACACACGCTCACGCCTTGGCTCCTGTCTGAAACCACTAATGCAACTTTGAAGAGCACTGTGTGATACCGCTAAAGTCGATTCAACCGCAGCTTCTAATGCAGTCTGACTGCTCGAATGTCCCTGACGGAAAATAAATGCACCACCCTAAATTGCAGTAGGCCTATATGGAGACAGAGACTTTAGGTTTCTATATAAAGGCCGAGAGGTTGTGGGAAAGGATCTGTGTTTTCTCTAATTCATAAGCCTTGATATGTAATATCATAGCCTCTTGCCTCTAGATGACAGCAACGCAAAATGAGCAATCAAACGTCTGAATTTGTCACTTAAATGTCAGAAAAACGCCTTTGGCGACAACAAGCTGTTCATGGGGGGAGTTAGTAGTTTAGAGAAGACCCCATGGAGATGAAAACATTTTCGGAGAGACCACTCGATTGAGAATTAATATTTGATTATACAGAGGCTGCTGGAGTGGCTCATCGTGGTTATGACTCACGATGATTCAATTAAACTGCATCTGAGTGAGTATTGACTTTGTTGACATCTAAAATGCTGTTGAGAAATAACAGAATTTACCGAAACTCATTCAACTAATTCCTGCACGTTTTAGCAAGTTTACATGTCTATGTCTTGAACAATGTTTCACTCCATCCCAAATTGTGTTTAAAAGCCTAGCATAAGTCCATTTTGTAAACTATGACAGAAGCTGAGGCAACTTGAAATTTTCCATTATTGAAGGAGAGTCTGCTAAATTAAAACTAAAATTTAGTGCAAGACAAACAGGAGGCAGAGAATCGCCTTGCCTCAGACAGTCAAATATTGTGTCTTTTTGCTTTGAGATCAACTGACAGACTAGACAGACAGAGCTTAACGAGACGATTGTTACTGCATATCACAAACTTGTGTCCTCTATATCAATCAAACATCTTTTCTATCTATAAAAGGAGAACTTTTTACTGCTATAATCAAAGAACGATGCAGGGACACATTTTCTTTTACTTTTAATCTTCATTTAAGCAAGTTCTTAAGTTTAAGCTCTTCAATCATATTGGTGTACATAAATATCCTTTTATATAAAAATAGACAGAAGCAGAAGTCTGAGCCCACTATATATTCTGTACATATATGTGTAATCACAAGATACTATATTGAATTACATCTTTTCCTGCAGTTTAATGATACCACCAGTATTTTTAGAACTATGTTTGCACCCCAACATTGGTTCTGATTCTACAGCAATAATAATACATCTGAATTTAATTTATTGAATTTCATTGAATTGACATGGAGCCCTCTGCTGGATAAATTGTATTATGTCATATAAGTGTTCTGTGCCACGATAATTCAATAGATGAATCGAATTTGATGATGTATCTCATTTTATATTATTATTATTCTTAAAAATATTACAAAAGAAAGAAGTATCTCAGAATTCTATTTAAGTAAAATTCTGTTTGTTACTTTACACTGCTAATAATATAGGCTGTGATCATTATAACGCTGCCATGGGACCCTCTCCAGGAAGTATTTTTTTATGCTTTATTTTGGTTATAATACTTAAATACTTTAACAACATGGTGGATAAAATAGTTACCAATAACAGTGAGCAGTGTTTCAGAGTGAGAAACCGATCCCTGCTCCGACGGAACACCTGTCACATTCATCACAACAAAGAGAAATGGACAGATCTTTCCACGGTTAATCTCGATTCTTGTCCTCCCCCAATTTCTGCTCTTCTCAATGATCCCGTCACTCACTCACCGCAGCATCTGTCCGCCTCTTTGCTTTTCTTGCTCTCTGTTCAAGGTACGGCAGAGCAGCCCTCGGATGGTTTCCACTCTAATTTTGGCTAGCAACTGAGTAAATGAGACTCAACTGTGTCTGCCAATGGGTGTGCCAGGCAACCGGAGTGATACATCTCAGTCTCCATGGCAACAGCCTGCATGTTTTGCATGCAGATATCACACTCTCAGTGTAGTGGAAGAAGCCCGTGGTGGTCGTCAGCTTCTTTCAGACATTGAGCAGTTGCTGCCGTGACTGCTGCCAGGCAACATCAGTGTTCTGTATTTTCAATCTCCCATCGCCATGGCTTTGCTCTATATTAACTTCCTTGAAAAAAAAATGTTATATAAGAACGCGTTTAGCTCAATATGTTGAAGCACTGTTGGGCTATGTCTCACCTACTCGGAGAGAGGGAGAGAGAGACCCAGCTATAATAAATCAAAAGAATATGGCTCCTGGCTTTCGGATGATGGGTGATGCTGAGCTCCCATCATGGAGCAACAGTAATGAAGCATTTTCCCCGAGGCTGCAGCAGCGTCAGTGGGTGGTGGAGCCCCCGGGATTGCATTAAGGGCTCTCTGTTTCCACAGGGCGCGTTATTTACCATCCGACGCAATTGCAGGTAGAACAGAGGATTCGATGTAGAAGTGGAATTATATGATTTATCTTATCTGATCTACTCCGTCTTGGTCATAAAAATGCCAATTAATCAGTGGGTAAGCTTTCAATTATGAGGGAAATTAATACATTTAATCTTATTGAGGGTTGCTAATCATCCGTAAACTACTCAGTATAAGTTTCTCTGCAGGATACCCACAGAGCTTATCATCTTGTTTAATTGGTCTGCTTAGTCAGAGGGGATGGTGCTGCTCACTGAGCTCCTCATCTGAGGTTATGAGCTAATATTTGTGATGAGCGGCGTCATTAGAGAGAGCGTTTGTGCTTCAGAAAGAAAAGTGGAGAAAAGCCCAAGACAGAAACAAACAAAATCAAGGCCGTGAATGGTTGCCACAAGCAAAAACATTTCAGCCTGCTGTTACCATGGTAGCAGCCCACCTGAAATCATTTCCTCAGAGCCCTATCTTCCCTCGGGTGCGTTCCAAAGACGTTTACGCAGTCAGTTGGTGAAATCCCTGTGAAGTCTCTGTCAGTGGGAGGACAGCTGTCAGTTACTCACGTCGCCAATGGACCAGAGACTAAAACTCCATCCCGCTTGTGTGCAGTTTACATCAGAAACATCTGTCCATCCAAGGTCAGCGTCGATGACACATGATGCAAACAGATGATTCATGTTATGCGGTTATATATTCATATATTCAGCACATATGTGCAGTGGGGGCCGGATGATGGAAACCAGCACACTTTTTTATTCCTCAAAAGTGACCTCAAGCCGGAAACATTGAGAACAGAGGACCATTACTGATCCTAATAACCTAATCCCATGAGTCAGAAAACCAAATGAATTGACCTGAAGCAAACTAATGTGTCTCTATTATCCAATATCGTGGTCTGCTCCGATGAACTCATTCACCAGGGGACAGCCATTACACTCTTCACCTCCGGTCCCTGCTGCACAGCAAACTCTTGTTTTGTTCACTGACTGCTGACAACAACATCATTACCAAAAACTACTTCTATGTCAAGTCAATATGTTGGGATGAAACACCTGAAATCTATTTAGAGCCCGAATAGACTGAAGCAATGCGTTGAGTGTTGCGTGCAGTCTGATTCATGCTGTGTGTCGCTGGATTACATGAGGCAATGACACCTTCTTCCAAGGTGCGTGGAGAAGGGTTACCTTGATGGGTCAGAAATTCAGCAACAAAAAAGAAAAACTTTATGATTATAGATTGTCTGCAGTCACTTTTTCTTTAAAGTGAAATGCTTAGCTGTAACACACTGTATTGTTGTCAAAAATAGCCTTTTGAAATGTGTATTAGCATACAGTATTTGTCAACCGTTATTTTTATATTTTTATTATATTCCATTTCTGACAATACATCCTTCTAAATAACCCAACTTTTAAAGATGGACGATTCTGTCTTCACTACGGAAGTGTGGTTTCGAGCCCCAAACGAGAAGACGATATGGAAGAGGGACCCTTGTGCGATGTTATAGACCCCTTCTCTCCTCTTGCTGATGCAACGCTTCGTCACATATACCACTTTGCTGTTATGGGCATATTTATGAGACACCATGCATATATTGCACAGCCTTTATTGAGGCGCTGGAGTATAGACCCCCTGAAGTACGTTCTTATATGTCTCTGAAGTGACAGTTTGACAGGATGTGTCCAAGCGGCTTGGCGTGTATTAGCATACCTGGCACCTCATCACAGAGCTGCCACTCTCGGCTGGACAGGAGTTGGGCTGAGGTGTTACATCCTGTGAGACCCGAGGGCAACCGAGGAGGAGGAGGAGGAGGAGGAGGAAGAAGTTTTCACACCTTTTCCTCTCCTGACACTTCAGACCAATTAATCTCATCCTGGCTTTAAATGAATGACATTATATATTATTAACAGGAAAGAACCAGCTTACTTTTGCATAAACCATATAAATGACATCTTAGCCACTGTGGATTTCTCCCAAACATCACCTAGAATTCTAATGATCACTATGCATTAGCATAGATTAGGTGAGTGGTCATCCAATTCCCCCTGCTCGTTCTGAGGCTTTTTTTGTGAAATGAAAGACGGCTTATGCATGTTGTCTAGAGAAGCCTAATGACTTTGACAATCCCTTGATTTACTCTCTGTCGCCATCAAAAGGTCAAAATGTATTTTTAAAAAGTTTCTTTGGTGATGCATTAACTTTTTAGGTAGTGCCAAGATATGAATACAACATATGCATACATTCCTGTCATAATGAAATGCCGATCAACCTGATTTATACTTTTGTGAGTAGCGCTAATTCTAAAAGATGGTAAATGTAAACATTATACTTTGGTAAGTATGTTAACATGCTGATGTTCACACATAAGAACTTCAAACTATAGGATATCAATAGTAAGCAGAAAAACCCTAAACCCTTTTTGTTTTCTTCAAAAATAATCTGCCTTTCTTGAAGTAGGTAGGACCATCTTGCAACATTTCAACATTGCATGTATAACTTGCTTCCCAGTCTGTTGGTTCAGCGATACAAGTATGAAGAACGAGAGAGATGGAGGGGAGCAGGGACTCACTGAGGATTCAATCAAGATGGTTTCTAAACAACTTGTTCCTGTGTCAAAATGGCATCTAAGTTTAGCATCAACCTCACCTGATGGCTTAATGGGAACTGGTGCTGTCCTTGTCTGGTTTGGCTTCACCAGGATCGATGCCAGGTGACTCAGGCAGAGAAATGAAAAAGGTTGCATTTAGCCAGCGCAGTTTCCTGTGAATTATTCACTTAAATTCCAGATAAACTATTCCGATGTCTCCCAACAAAACTAAACACATCTTTACAAAAGGAAGGAGCATTGTGCATGTTGTTCACGGAAGATAAATACAGCATTTCTACATCAAACATTTATTAAAAATAACTGGCTTGAAAAGTCCCTTGAACATTGCCAACGTCATAATAAGACTACATTGGTACATTTGATACAGTTAGCTAGTATTGTAGTCCGCAGTGTACGGACATTTAAACATGTATAGTATTGTGTTTACGAGACAGGTTTATATATTTTGACCTAAAGCGTAAGGATAGCTTAACTCATAAACCACAGGAGGAAATAGGTTTGCTGAAAAAGGACTACCGTCTTTGTCTTTCTCTCTCTTTGTCTGAATATATAGATCAGTCAGTGTGTCAATCAAAAATAAAATTATTCACTGACTTCACATTCAGAAAAACAAGAACATTGTCCTACGGTAGCTTGCATTTAAAACAACCACAACAATAAGCACAAGAAATAAACAACAATGCTTTCCAGTTGTCATATTTGTGTAAAGTCAGTGCAAAGTTTGCTGTGATTTTCAACCAAGCAATTTGTATAATGACCATCATAAAGAGCACAGATTGCATTAGTGGCTGCAGTTTGATTCTTGAGTCTCAGAGTAATGTTCTTGCATCCAATTAGAACAAGGATTAGTTGCCATGGAGACGCCCGCCTCCAGAATCCCTAGTGAGACAAACCTAATTTACTAAACAGTGACAAATGTAGAAATGGGTATATGACTACATATCATTTCAAAATGAGGCATCCTCTTCCTCTTGACATTGGCATATATTTATCACAAAGTTCACTACAGATGTGGCAAGTGTTAAATTACTTTTGAAGACATACATTTACCAATTTACCAATCTGCCCTGCCCTGTTGACAGCATTAATTCTGAGTGATAAGAAATACTTTTACAAGCTGTACTTTGAGAAAAACAGTTAGGTGCAGTCAGTAAAGATGTAATCTTGCAATTCAATTTGTGTTTTGGATTGTACTTTGTCAACATCTGTAAACAATTTCTAAACAACTCAACAGACGATAACAATACAATCTGATTATCTTAGAATTCATGTGAAGATTACTATAAGTATTTGACAATAAGAACATCCACTTTAAAGGGGTTAACTTAGTTTTACACCACTTACTTAATCAAAACGTCACCCATTGCATATAAATGAATTAACATGGCTGAAACCATTTTTATGAGATTTTTAACCAGATTATTTTTCGTTTCCGGTCAGTGATATTGTTTAATGCTACATACACTGATGATCGGTGTCCACGCCGTGTTTCGTCCACAAAATAGTCCCTCAATGAGCTCCAGCGTTCAGGGCCTCAGGACTGCCTGGCATGAGAATAATACCGCCACATTATAAATGTTTTAAAACCATCTCTGTTCAGCCGCATAATTAAACAGCACTGCCCTGAATTGCCAAGCAGCTATCTGGTGGATGGTTAAGATGTCCTGGATCAACCTGAATCTCAAGCCCCATTTAACCTCCATCCTCATCTCTGCATGATAATGAGAGTCTTGTCAAAGGAGAAACATGGAAACAAACTTAGCCGAAAAGAAAAAAAGATGTTTTTTTATTCTTGGTACAGAGTGCAGGTCTGACGCTTCTGTTTTTAACTAAAGAGCCGTTGAACACAAACGCTACCTTTCAAACTGCCAGTTGAATTATCCAAAAAACGATCCCCGCGAGGAAGAAGTATAGCAGTCAATGTTTCATTGTCTGGCATCACAACTTCTACACCATTAGGGGCTAAAAATGATCCAAGTGCAAGGGGGCGAGAGACACAGGGGGAGAGAGAGAGAGAGAGAGACAGTCTGTCTACACAGTTCCACAAAGCTCAGGATGTGTGTGCGTGTGTGTGTGCGTGTGTGTGTGTGTGTGTGTGTGTGTGTGTGCGTGTGTGTGTTCATCAGAAAGTGCAGGCGTAGACGATCCCAACCACCACAATGTTCCCGATGGTGGCGATGATGGCGATCCAGAGCCAGATGGCGTCGCTAGACATGGACTGCGACTCATCCTGCTGGCCGTGCACCGAGCCGGCACAGGCAGCGGCGTGGACGCTGGCCGAGGAGTTGAAGAGCGAGTGCTCGCCGCTGTAGTCGTCAATGGGCGAGGAGTCCATGAAGGCTCCCGTCATGACCGGGATCTAGGAGAGGAGGAGAAGAAGAGAGGTTTAAATTAGGTTCGGCTGTTAATTTGCTGATTCCAGTGCTTTGAGAGTATATTACAATTTGACTCCTTTTAGGCCAACATCATCAGGGTTTCATGACTTATTCTTCTACTGGGGGCAGTAAAACTTAAAAAAGGAGAAAAAATATGAATCTCAACGTGGAATATAGTAAACGTTGAACCTGCTAAACACCAATGTGTTATCATTATGCGCATGTGTGCTTTGGTGCATTTGGTTTTCTAGAAAAAGAGCAACCGTTAAAATGTGAATAAAAAATCACTTTACAGTCCTACGGCAAGGAGTAAAATGTGTTCCTTTCCTGACAGTTACAGCACACCAGGTTGTTTCACAGTGCTTGATTAAAATGCATTTAATATTTCAGATGTGGCCAGCCAAAGTGATTTATTATTATTATTAAAGAAACTGAATGCTTTCCTGTGTGTGATTTGTGAGAGAATTCATGTGCATGTTTGAGCATGAGAAATGCACGAGATCGTACCACGCTGAGACTGGAAAACATTCTTTCATAAACAATGTTAAAAATACCTCAGAGTCTTGCTTGTTCATTCACAGTCCAAGAAACATTCTTAGTTTTACAGAAATACATTTACAAGCCAAGTTTATTGTATCTGTCTGAGTATGACATTCAACCCTCATAAGTAACTGACTATACAACTGTAAACACTTTTGATACTTTTGTCTGCAGGTGTAATTTTCTGTGTATTTTAACTTAAGATAAACCCATATTCCATTGGTCTAAACAAACTAATGCCCGCATTGAGGGGATGCTTTTCAGATGATGTAATACTCCAATTGATCCGCCAGGTGGAGCCACAGACAGTGTTTTCAAATGCAAGGCCGAGGCAGATCGTTCAATGCTGGAGGACAATACTCCTCCTTGCACCATATAAATACAAACAGGTGGAATAAGCTCAAACATGATTCAGATATTGGAGAAACAATTAGCAATATTTATTTCCAACTAACACAATGTCTGATCACAAACAGCAACTAACACAATGTTTGGTGACAAACCGTTAGTGAAACACATTATTTATGTTTTTTGGGCTCCTTTCTCGTACTGTCTGTGGGAATATTCCTGTATTCACCTTCTGTCTGAAATGTTCCGTTCCCGTTTTGAATCAAACTACACACGTGAAAAAGAGGAAGGTGCAATTAACACAAACACTGATTTTAGGAATCTTTCGAAAGGGAAATAAGTAATTCAAAGGAAGACCATTTAGAGAAAAAAGTATTTACATTTTATTATTATTATTTGATGTCTTAAAAGAATGGGATTCGAAATAAACACTCTCTCATTCAATGATGTGTATCAAATGGTGAACAACTATCTTTCATTGACCAACCCAGAGAAAGCTCTTGAAACGCACACTTTCACACCTCCTTGAGTCACACAGCCTCCAGCTGTGCAATACTCAGACAATACAGCGGAGCTCCTTTCACCTGCTCTGCTCTCATCGCTTTGATGTATTCGTCCCAGCTGTTCCTCGAGCTGTGCCATCCTACACTGGTGATCACAGTAATTGTGAAATAGAACAGACCGTAATGGCCTCCTGTGGGACATTGCCACCAGTAAGTGCCCCGCGTAATGGCTTTGGAACAAACAGGCAGAGCCCAGATAAACGTATACCTACCCACAAAAGCACTGAAGCATTGGCTGTTAAGACAAAATCAGAACAAATAACTTGTTTTTCTGCACTAAGGGGTGTGGGGTGGGGGGGTGTATCAGCTCAAAAAAAAACATCTATACAGTCCTTGAGGAGAACAAATGTCAAGATGTTCCTAAGAGAACACATTGTAACGGGAAAGACACGGCGAAGGCAGACGCCTGCTGTGCCTTCCTCACAATCGTTGGAAGCACACAGCTTTTGATTTTCCCAACCGTCACAACCTTCTCTGCGCTGTTGGCTGCTTGGACCGGTGTTGTTGTGGGCTTCGTCTCAATCTGATTTAAACTAACGCAGCTGCCTAAAGGTTTGTGCAATACCTGGTTTACCGTCCCTGATGTCCAGACTCATCTATCCAGGGAAATCAATGGTTTCAGAGTTGGAAATTCTCTTTGGCTCCGTATTTGAGCTCAAATCACTACTTTCTCAGCCATGTATTATGATGACATGGCTTTCCTTGTATAATGCCCTGTTTTCTCTTTTCAGGCCATATCACCATTGTCCCAACAATTTTCATTAAAATAGTGTTGCAAAGGCAGCACATTATGAGAATCACGCTGACCTTGAAGAGGCCTCGCTGCAGGCGTTTTGTGCTGCCATCATAGGAAAAACACAGGTGATACTGACACCAGTAACAGAGGCTCAGATGTGATGGAAGTTTCCCAGTGAGCCTTGACAGCGAGCCGGCAGGAACAACACCGGGGCCCCAAAAATAAAGAAGTAAAACGGAATTCTGCCGTTAATTATACATGTGCTTCTCCTGCTGTGACATATGAAAATGTCCTGTGTAAAAAGAGAGGCCCATCCTGTCCAAACAGGCCTTTTATTAGTCTGCTTAGAAGCAGTTGAGACACACACACACACACACACACACACACAGAAGTGAGTGTTGGTCTGACGAGTCTCTCACTGCCTCAAAAACTCGGTCATCAACCTGTAACAACAGCTGTGCGTCCCCATGTGGACCAACACGTCAATTAAACCTGCTGTATTCATGCACCTTGAAACACGCTAACTGTGAGAAAACGCGAGCTAATCATGTAATCTGGTGATGATGATAATTTCTCATATTATTGAGGTGTAAATGATCATCTAAAAGGCTGAAATCTATTTAAAACCTCCTGTCAAGTGCTGTTGTATCACAGTGGTTTTGTAAGAGAATCGCTGAACAAAGTATCTCATGTTTTATTCATGTGTGGTGTTGGGAGTTGGGAGAAATGGATGCATAGCACTAGTCTGGTTGATGCTTCTCTGGGGTCTCCTTTACTGTCTTAAATGATCTTAAATGATCCCTGTGGCAGAAAAGCACTGGAAAAGCTCAGTTCTTTATCCTACACTAAGCAGTAGGCTGCATAGAGGTTTATAATACTTACTAATCATCAGTATTTTTGCATCATCAATGGAATGATGGTAAGGACACTCTGTGAAGTTTTCTCAAAAGTAGTTCACAAAATGCTAGAAAAGAACCAAAACACCTACTTGGTTTACAAATGAGAAAAAAAGCTCCACTCTAACTTGCTTTTATGTCTTTGCTTACTTATTCTATGTACCACAATCTATACACCTACATTAAAACTTGCTAGACTTTCAGAACCGTGCAAAACACCTCAAATAAAGGAAGGTACAGGAAACATCCTGTCTATACTATTTAGATCAGGGAAATAAATACCACACTGAGGAATCCTTATGTGTTGAATTGGCCGTTAAAGAAGAAGACTCCTTCTGCACAATAGAAACCATTTAGTGAAAACGTTTGGTGCTTTCCATACACCCAGTGTTGCCGTAACTCCGGTGGAAGATTTACGCAGGTTTTAAGGCGGCTTGTTCATCCGTGCAGGAGTGCAGGGACCTGTAATTTAAGGCCTGGTTCCTACGAGACAGATTTACAGCTGTGCTTTTATTGATCTTCTCTGCCCGCCATCATTTTTCAACAAATCTTATAATTCAGAAGAAGAAACACAACCCGGGTGATTCTTACTTGACACCCTAGTCAATCAGTCAGCTCGGGGGAAATTGAGCAACAAAGGGGAACGTTATATATTATTCTTATGAATAATAAATGGCTCCCCTTCATGCTCCTTGCCTCAGTGGTGTAGCTGAGTGTTTTCTATTCATTCTCACCATTATCGGTACTGCTACCAGTTCAACAAATAGAAAAATATCAACCAGTGGAGGAGATTATGCACCTTCACATCTGGAGCTCTTACTCACTGATATATGATACACTAATTGGAAGTTGTGTGACGACTTGATATTCATCAGCACACATTAAACATTAAAATCCACCACAAACAAAGAGTGATGCGATATTTAAGCCAGATAACAACTGGGAAACAGTTCCAGATGATCATACAGTGTGTGTGTGTGTGTGTGTGTGCTCGCTGAGGTTTCCACTGTAGCGCCGTTTCTCACCCGTGGCGTGTGTGAGTGCATGTCTGCAGTCTGTAATGCTTCGCTCTGTGACACCCGGAGCTCTAAAGACTCAGTTCACACTGGAATAAAGTCAGAAATTCTGTACTGTCAGCAGCGTCTAACACAGAACACAGACAGACGGGGGAGAATAAATGGAGATGGAAAGTTGAAAGATGTCACAATTTCCTCTTTATTCCTTGCTGACACATCAACACTTTCAACAAGGAATGAGGAAACGCAGATCACAGATACAGGAGAAGCTGTCAGCCAAAGACGTATTTCCCCACGTTTCAAATATTAGGATGATTATCGTGAAGATCACAGTGCTGAAAAATCTGCTCATGCTTTCTTATCTCTTTTAAGACGAAAGAAGAGTCCAACAGGAGAAAGAAGCCGGACAATGACTACAGGGCACTATGCTTCAGATTGATTGACGTAAGGTTGTTTAATACATGCACATAAATTGCAAGAGAGTCAAAAATATGATGCGCCACACAACTGCTTCGGTGTCTTCCTTTCAATAGAAACTATGGTGTTTCACTCAGTTTACAGGTTGATAAATCATGAAAAGGCTTCTCTCGCACTGCCAAATCCCTGTACTAAAGTACAACCCGGGTTTATTTTGACAGGTTTTAACTTGATTCATCAACCATTTCCACTTTTATTTTACATTCTTTCAAAATCGATAGAAAAATGTTTTTCACCAAAGCCTGGAAGCCATTTATTATTTATGGGAGCCGATATTTTATATATGCATTCTGGATAATGTGCAGCAGCACGTGTTCTATGGTACAGTTTACACCAAAGTTATGTTACAGCAAGAGATTTGCAATGTCACCCACCACTTTAAAAATCTCATGAGCAATAATTTTAATT